AAAAAAAAAAAAAAAAAAAACTTTTCTAAATCTAACTTCTTATTTGTTAGTTCCTCCACTAACAGCCTGATTTATGTCACTATGATCACCTCATGTGATGTGAAGCTCCTAATAATCCGTCTCCTTTCTGTGCTTGCACCTCTTTAGTCACGTTTCTTTCCCATTCAACAGCTGGACTAATTTTGAAGTTTAAATTATGTCAGTGTTCCCTTGCTAAAAACTGTTCATTGTTTATTTCATTTAGGATAAAATTGAAACTTTTTTCATGGTCTCTAACATTCTACATATATGCATGCCTATATACCTTTTTTATTTTTTTAAAACAAATACAACCAGAATGTATTTAATATACATCACAAGGGCTCAACCAGAGCCTAAATTAAAAACAACAACAACAAAAATAATACCACAGCCCCAAGATACAGAGTCCTATACAGAAATCAAGGAAAGGACAAGACCATTGAAGGAAAAAGTAAAAAGACAACACAGGGAGAGGCTGGGTAGCCTGGGTCAGGGCACCTGGCTGGATACCTGCTTTGAGTGGGTTTCTTGCAGGTACTTTTTTTTTGTAGAGACAGAATCTCACTTTTATCGCCTGTGGTAGAGTGCTGTGGCATCAAGGCTCATAGTAACCTCCAGCTCCTGGGCTTAGGCGATTTTCTTGCTTTAGCCTCCTGAGCAGCTGAGACTACAGGCACTCGTCACAACGCCTGGCTATTTTTTTGTTGCAGTTTGGCCAGGGGCAGGTTTGAACCTGCCACCCTTGGTATATGGGGCTGGCGCCCTAACCACTGAGCAATAGGTGCTGTGCTGCCCTCTTGCAGGTACTTAAGCATGTGTGTTCAAATGGCTATTGATACAAGGTTCTCCTAGCAGGTTCTGAACAAAAAGTAGGATGGTCCTGACATCGTATTGGGCAGGCTAATTGTCCTTCAGGATGTCCATACAGCTGTTACGCTGGATGTCCACATTGGGGTTGTAGTGGGGCATGAGGACCTTCATTGTGGGTATATTATAAGGGTAACCACTGGGGAACTCTAAGGAAAGCTTATACTTTAGGTCTTCATATACTATGCCAGCTATTCCATGGGTAATCCCTGCCTATTTGAAAGGTGGTCTGATTAAAGAAAGGCAGAAATTCCTTTGTTGCCAGACATCATGAGGGTAATAAGCTCCTGCTATATCCTTTTGTCCGTGGGCCCCTGGGCAGCATCTCCTCTGGTTCGTCAGGGTTTTAGGAAGCCATCCTAGTGGTGGCTCTGGCAGGGAGATAGGAATTTGGAAAACCTGGTTGCGACTGCTTTATATACCTTTCGAAGCACTTCTTTAACATTCATTCATTGCAGCCACACTGGCCTTGATACTACTTTAACAAACCAGTTTTATTCTGATGTTTGCCATTGCCTTTGTCTGGAATGTTCTTCCTTCAGATATTAGCATAGCCATCTCCATCATTTCATTAAGGTACTTTTCCAGGTGCCTTCTGATCAATCTATCTAAATATTATCTATTTACCTCCTTTGCTTTGTTCATAAGTACTGAAAGCTTTAATTCTCTAAAACTATGTTGTTTGTCAACCTGGCTTCTCTTCTTGTGAAATATAAATTCTATTAGGATAGGTACTACCTGGATAATGCCTAATCTAAATATCTCGAAGACTAATCTTGGCATTGAGTGTTAGAATTTCTGTTTGAGTAAAATTATAAGTAATATATTGAGAACTACAGTTCTTCCTAATTTTGAAACATTCTATAAGGTAATGGTTGTATGTCCTTAATAGAATTACACTTAAAAAGAGAAAGTATTATTCTGTTATTCTATTTTATATAAAAACTCTACCTAAAAGTTCCCATGCCTTTTACATAGAATTTTCTTCTTACAACTGAAATATAAGACCAGAGAGGAAGGGGAACATTTGACATTAAAAAAATATTTTTTTGACTATTTGGTTTTATTATTTGTATAGGAATATAAAATCAAGGAAAAATCAGAAGAGTGCTAGGTTATATATTTGCACTTTGTAATGAATTTTATATTTGAAAATTGTACTTTAATTTTAAAAATGCTAACAACATTGGAAATACCTTACAATCTAAAATTACATTTCCTTTCTGTCTTTCTCTAGTTATTATAAAAGATGTAAATTTGATATAATATTAACTATAAATTTTAACTTATATTCTTTACCATTTTGATAAGAATTGACTTAAAGGATCATAAATATTTTTATTTATTGACTTAATTTCACTGCATAGCGTTTTCCAAAAAAACCCAGACTATTTCCTGCTTACATAGGCTCTGATGTAGGTAGTAGTTAATGCTAACACTTTAAGATAAGTTGTCTCTTATTTCAAAATACACATTACAAAAACTTTTCCTTTAGAAGCTAGAGCAAGACAAGGATGCCTACTTTTACTACTCTTGTTCAACATAGTACCAGAAGTCCAGTGAAATTAGGTAAGAAAAATAAAGGACATCCAAATTTGAGAGGAGGAATTCAAATTGTCCCAGCTCTAATACATAGTAAAGCCTAAATTCTCTATCCCAAAACTCCTAGAACTGATAAACTCAGTAAATTTGCAGGATATAAAATTAATATAAAAAGTCAGCAGGGTTTCTTAAACAACAAAACTAGCTGAAAATAAAAACTAGCAAAAAATAGCAAAACCTATTATTCTATTATTTTAGCAAAAAATAGCACTTAGCAAAAAATAAGAAAACCTAAGAACAATTTAACTAGGGAGGTAGAAGACTTCTACAAGGAAACACTCATGAATGAAATTGAAGAGAATGCAAATGGACATCTTGTGCTTGTGGGTTGGAAGAATTATTACTTTTTAAGTGACAGTACTGCCCAATGCAATCTGCAGATTCAGTGTAGTCTCTAACAAAATACCAGTGATAATTTTTCACAGAAATAGAGACAAATATCTTAAAAATTATTATGGAACCACAAAGGACTTCAAATGGCCAAAGCAATCCTGAGTAAAAAGAAAAAAGCTGGAGGCACCATAATAGCAGACCTCAAAATATGCCGCAAAACTATAATAATCAGAATATAGCATAGTACTAGCATAAAAACTGACACATGAATGAATGGAATAGAGAACCCAGAAATTAATTTTGATGTCTACAGCCAGTTGAATTTTGACAAAGGTGCCAAGAATACTAATTGAGGGAGGGCAGTCTCTTTAATAAGTGGTGCTGGGAAAACTGGATCTCCATGTACAAAAGAGTAAAACTAGAACCCCACCTCTCACCCTATATAAAAAACAAAATAGCTCAAAGACTTAAATGTAGTACCTGAAATGATAAAACTACTAGAGGAATCATAGAAACACTTCAGAACATTCATTGGTCTGGAAAAAGATTTTATGAATAAGCCCTCAAGCAAAGGTAACAAAAGCAAAAATAAACAATTGGGATTATATCAAACTGAAAAGCTTCTGGACAGTCAGGGAAAATCAACAAGAACGAAAAGAATCCCACAGAATGGGAGAAAATATTTGCAAACTTCTTATCAAAAAAGGGATTAATATCCAGAATATTTAAGGAACTCAAATATCTCAGTAGCAAAACAATCTGATTTAAAAATGGGCAAGCGATCTCAACAGACGTTTCTCAGAAAACATTGAAATGGCCAACAGATATATGAAGAAATGCTCAACAATACTAATTATCGGGGAAATGCAAATCAAAACCATACTGAGGTATCATCTACTTCAGTTTGGATGGCTGTTGGTAAAAAGACAATAACAAATGCAGGTCAGGTTGGTAGGAATGTGAGTACAGCCACGAGGGAGATTATGGAGGTTCCTCAGAAAACTACAAATAGAACTATATAATCCAGTAATCCCACCACTGAGCATTTATAAGAAGGAAGGGAAATCATTATATTGAAGAGATATCTACACCCCCTTGTTTACTGCAGCACTATTCAGAAAGCCACGGTATAGAATCCACCTAGGTGTCCAACAACAGAAAATGTGGTTTATGTGCATAGTGGAATACTCCTCAGCCACAATAAAGAATGAAATCCTGCCACTCATGGCAATATGGATGGAAATAGAGAAGACATTATGTTAAGAGAAGTAAGCCAGGAATAGAAAATTAAACACTACCTCTTCTCATTGCTGTGTGGAAACCGAAAAGGTTGATCTCATCGATTGAGTAAAAGATAGAGCAGGACAGTAGAGGCTCCGAAGGGCAGGCGTAGGAGAGGTTTGTTAAAGGGTACACAGTTACAGCCAAATGAGGAATAACTTCTATTGTTCTGTGGAGCTATAAAATGCCTATGGTTAACAATAATACATAGTTTGAAATAGCCAGGAGGGTATTCGCAGCACAAATGATAAATGTTTGAGATGATCATTATCCTGATCTGATCATTATACACTGTATGTATTGAAATATCACTATATATCCCATGAATATATACAATTATTTTTAGTTTATTCAAAATATTTTTTAAAAGCCCTGCTCATGAACTCTAATAAAAAACAAAAGAAACATTTGCATATATATTACTCAGAGCTTTTGGATATTGATAACATTACAGTGTGGTAATCCATTATCAATATGGTTGCTCAGCATTGTCCACTCAGAACTGAATCGGTGTCAAATTGCAGATTAAATTGATGTAAGAATCAAGTAACAGAGATCCACACTTCTAGTAAACTTAACATTTTGAAGAAAAATATACCTAGTTTTAAAATATGTATATTAAAATATACATAGAAAATATACAGAAAAGTGAAATTCATAAAATTAGCATATTGTATAATTATCTTGATCAAAAAATGGAACATAACCAGGACCTCAGAAGCTGCCTTGAAGGATGGCATATTAAAGGGTTTTATGGTTATGGTCTTTTTTAATGTGTATTTTTGCTTATACCTATAAATATGAACGTAATTAGGACTTGTTCTTGAAACTCACACGTTTATAGTATTTGTTAAAATATTTTGTCCATGAGTTAAAGTTCTAAGAAAATAACTGCTTAAAATAGGGAGCTTAAAGCCCAGTGTATTTATTGGGAAGCATAGCATAGTTAATTAGAAAGAAAAAAAGAATAACAGAACTCCTTCTTTCTATGAAATGTTTGTCTCAGAGAGTGATTCCTAACTTTGGTTTGGGACATCTCAAAGGAGGGGATATAAAGTTCTTTCTAGCTTCCCAAAAGACAGTTAATAGAAGTTCTCCTGGATTTTATATATCATTTAATACTGAGTAAGAAAGTGTATACTGAAAAAGGAGTTGGAAACAATGATCCCTTCTGCATGCAGATTCTTGTGTATGATTTACTGCAATGCTGTATTTATCAGGTATTGATAGGGACCTGTATGTCTAGCAGGGAGCTGATGAGGTAATTATAGATAACAGTAGTACTTAACCCTTATCCATGGGGGACACATTGCAAGGTCCCCCGTGGATGCCTAGAAGTGAGGATAGTACTGAACCCTATAGAATACAGTACAATGTTTTTTCCTATACATACATACCTATGATAAAAGTTTGATTTATAAATTTGATGCAGATTTATGACAGTAACAATCATAACAGAACGATTCTAATGATATACTGTAATAAAAGTTGAACATGGTCTTGCCATCTTAAAGTATGTTGCTATATTGACTCAGTGCCTGTAGCACGGTGGTTATGGTGCCAGCCACGTACACCAGGGGTGGCAGGTTTGAACCTGGCCCTGGCCAGCTAAAACAACCGCAACAACATCAACAAAAATAGTATCTTACTGTATTATACTGTGAGTAACTGAAATCTTAGAAAGGAAATGGTAGATTGTAGAGGGAATACTGTATTTTCTGTATAATTTGTAAAGACTGTAGAGGTGCATAGACACACAAACACACTGACCTGGAGTGATGTCTGAGGTATTTTAGAAAAAACATTTTTTAGTTTTACTTTTTATAGAAATGTGCTTATACTTAAAGAGCCCCATAGTAATGTATGTGGTATATTAGGGAAAGTATTACACTTCTGCCCCAGTACATTTATCATCCTGAAGCATTTTTGCTAGAACCCATCCTGGGGATTTCCTTCATCTTTTTTTCCAGGGCGCGTGCAAAGTCACCTGTTCTTAGTCCCAACTAAGTCTTTCCTTCCTTGGTTTACTCTTTCTGATGCATTCTTTCCTTTTTGTAGCTTTTTGAGGAGCATGCAAGGGAAGTTGATTTGAGGCCTAATGTATTTGAGAAAAAGCACTTTACTATACCTTTAAAAAAATTATTTGGCTAGTTAAAAGCACCCTGCTACTGATGTTCACTGTTGATTCTGAAGCCATTCTCTTACCTGTTCCTTTTTATGCAGACCCGTTAAACTAGAAATTCCTCTAGTATCATTTTATTAGGATTTAAAGAAGATGAGCAGTAGTTGTTTATTTCACTTCATCATCTTAAGTATATATTATTAAGTGGGGGAAAAACAGAATAGATATAAAGCATAATCACATTTTGGTGAAAAATAATTATGTCTTAAGCAAGAAATAAACTGTGGATTTCGTACCATTGATGTTTCTTTCTAGAAGGAATTTGGGAAGACTGATTTTTCTTAAACATTTCTAAATTGCTTGAAATGTTTTTATAATCATGTGTTTAATTTGTAATAAGGGGGAAAAATCAGAGGCTTTTAAAAAACTTCTTGGGGTACTCTTGGCTGAAGAATGACCAGATACCTCAAAGTAATGCAAATGTGAAACAAAGCTTATTGAGAAGGAGAGAGATAGGTTTACAGAATAACAGAAAGGTAAAGGTTTACAGAGCAAGATACAATTGTCACAACAGAAAGGGCAATTCGAGGCATTTGTTATTTTCTTTTATTTGGGAAGCCAAAGCAGAGAGCTGTGTGCTTGTGTAATATTTCAATTAAGCTTTAAAGTGAGATGTGCTATATATAACCTGCATATAATTATCCATAACTAGTATACTTTTCTATTATAATTTGATCAAATGCATTAGTTTAACTTTTTAAAAAATAGATCAAAAATATTAAATCAATGGTTAAATTACCTATATGGAAGCCTAACTTGTCACATTGGTATATTTTTTTAATAGGTGTTTGATCAATATGTAAAGACCAGGGCAGAGGAAGAGCGCAGGGAAAAGAAAAACAAAATAATGCAAGCCAAGGAAGATTTCAAAAAAATGATGGAAGAAGCAAAATTTAATCCAAGGTATGTTTGTTCATTTCTATCAAATATCAAAGTTGTATATTTCTCTTAAGATCAGTTTAAAAAAAATAAAAATATTATACATATATATATTGATTATTGGTTTCTGTCTTTTTATATTATATTATTTTATTTTTTTAAGACAGAGTCTTGCTCTGTCTCCTGGCTAGAGTGCAGTGGTGTCTCACTCATAGCTCACTGCGGCCTCTGACTTCTGAAATCCAGTGTCCTTCTGCCTCAGCCTCCAAAGTATCAGGCACTACAGGTGCATGCTACCATGCCCAGCTAACCTGTCTGTTTTTAGTAGTGATGGGGTCTCGCTCTTAACGGGGCTGGTCTTGATCTTCTTGAGCTTAAGTCATAATCCTGCCTCTGCCTCCCAGAGTCCTAGGATTACAGGTGTGAGCCACCATGCTGGGCTAGTTTCTGACTTTCTAATCTTTGTTCTTAACATTTTTCATTGGAATCCCAGGTGCAATTCTCTTGCCTCAGCCTCCTGAGTAGCTGGGACTACAGGTGCCCGCCACAATGCCCAGGTCTCAGAAAAACTAGCCTGGCATGGTGGTGCATGCCTGTAGTCCCAGCTGCTTGAGAGGCTAAGGCAGGAAGATTACTTGAGCCCAGAAGTTTGAGATTGCAGTGAGCTATAATGATGCCACTATACTCTAGTCCAGGCATCAGAAAGAAAAACAATGACTCCAGGGAATGAAAAAACACCACATTTCCATGGAGACCTAATGGTACAACTTTATTTTAATCTGTTATGCTAAAAAATATTAAAATAAAATATTTTGCTGATTACAGTTTTACAAATTGATTTTACATTTTTGAAAGTTTGGTTTTTAATCTTAGTAATGCAGATTGAATATCCCTTACCTGAAATGCTTGGGACCGGCAGTGTTTTAGATTTTGGAATTTTCTTTTTTTTTTGAATGCTTGCATTGTACTTCCTGATTGAGCATCTCAAATTGTTAAATCTGAATTGAGTGTCTTATTGGTGCTTAAAAAGTTGTAGATTTTGGAACATTTTGGATTTTAAGATTTTTGGATTTGGGATGCTCAACCTATGCTTGCTTTTTTATCTTAAAATTATAAAGAAAGGTGCTTAATTTGTCATGAAAAGAAAATAGAGTCGAGAACATGTGGTCCCCTTTCTGGAACATACATTGTTTATTTTACCTTAAAATTTCTTTATGGTTACATATCTATTGTTTAAACCAAGTTCCTAAGATAATTATGTTGTTAAAACTGTTGAATTCAGGCAGTGCCTATGGCTCAAAGGAGTAGGGTGCCAGCCCCATATACTGGAGGTGGCAGTTTCAAACCCAGCCCTAGCCAAAAACTGCAAAAAAAAAAAAAAAAAACAGCTGCAAAAAATGAAATTTGGTATTGTGAGTGATATTAGTTATATACAAAACATTAGTAAAATCTGATTTTGCCCTGCAAAACTTAAAAATAACAGATGCTAGCTGTGATAGTTTTAACCTTCAGTTGATGTTTTAAATTCTAATTCCTGAAGGTAACTAGCCATGTATTTATTTATTTATTTATTTATTTGACAGAGTCTCACTATGTCACCCTTGGTAGAGTGCTATGGTGTCCCAGCTCACAGCAACCTCAAACTCTTGGGCTTAAGTGATTCTCTTGCCTCAGCCTTACAAGGAGCTGGGACTACAAGCGCCTGCCACAACGCCCAGCTATTTTTTTGGTTGCAGTTGTCATTGTTGTTTAGCAGGCCCCAGCCGGGCTCGAACCTGCCACCTTCATTGTATGAGGTCGGTGCCCTACTCACTGAGCTACAAGCGCCAAGCCATAGTCAATTTTTTTTTTTTTAATAATTAAAGCTATAACAGAATCTTTGTTTTAACAGATAGGAGAATGTGGTTAGTTTTTTGTTGTTGAAATTGTGAAATAGATTTTAAAAGGAAAAATAAGCTTTAGTTTTTCTTTAAAGCATGGTATATATGGAAGTGTTAATTATGAGTCAATTTTTACCATATATATAAAGTGGAAATGTCAAATATTAATTTACTTACCAAACATACACGAAATACCTTTTCTTTGTATGTCTGTTCATTAGTCCTCATAGGCTTCCTTTTTTTTATTTAACTTGCTTAGAGTTTGCTGAGCTTTTTGGTCTATAAATTAGTGATTTTCATCAAATACAGGGAGTTTTTGGCTAGTATAGTTTTCAGCCCTTATTTATTCTTCTCTTTTTTTGGATTCTAATTACACATATTAAAGTATTTAATACACTATTTTACATTTTCCTGAGACTGTTCCCCTCACCCCAGTCTTTCTTCTGTCTCCTCTTGTCATTAGATAATTGTTATTGATCTAATTTCATATAATTGACTCTTAGTCTATTATGTCTACTCTCCTGTTAAGCCTATCCAGGTAATTATACCTTTTAGTTAGTTTTAGATTCTTTTTTGTGTTTTCTGTCTTTGCTGAAATTCCCTATCTGTGCGTTCATTTTAAAACCATGTTTTCAGGCCAGGTTTGGTGACTCATGCCTGTAATCTTATTTTGGAGGTTGAGGTGGGTGGATCACCTGAGCTCAGGAGTTCGAGACCAGCCTGAACGAGACCTCATCTCTACTAGAAATAGATAAACTAGCCAGGTGCTGTGGTGTGTGCATGTTTGTAACAGGCAAGAGGATTGCTGGAACCTATGAGTTTGAGGTTGCTGTGAACTATGATGATGCTATGGCACTCTTCCTAGGGTGGTGGAGTGAGATTCTTTCTCAAAAAAAACTATGTTTTCAGTTCTTTGAATCTATTTTTTAAAAATCTTTCAGCATAGTTTTAATAGTTGTTTTAAGGTAATTGCCTACTTAGCAACATCTGGGCAGAGTCTTGGGTTCAGTTTCTATTGACTTTTAGTTAGTTTTTTCCCTATGGATCACATGTTCCTTTGTTTCATGATTTTTGATTGAATATTGGACACTATGGATAACATTTGGAAACTCTGTAGTCTGTTATCGTCTGCTGAAGAATGGGGATTTTTATTTTAGCAGACAGTTCACTTAGTGGCTGCGACCTTAATTTTAGGCTTGATGTTATTATGCTTTCTTATTATGGATCTCTGAAAGTAGAATGTGGTTCTCTCAGCCTCCCAACTCCCATTTTCCTTGTGGATTTTTTGTGGGTTTGTTTGCTTTATACTATATGTCACCTAACACTTATGAATATGTTATCTTTTTCACTCTTTTTTTTTTCCAATTTATTTTAGATGAATATGAGGGCAGAAATGATTAATCTTTTTCTCTCTTAATCCCATAGCGGATTGGTATGGGGAGTGATTTTCTTTCCCCTATTATTGGTCAGCTTGGCCATGATGTGGACTTGTGAGGATTCCTGAAATGGGACTTTTTTGAGACATCCTCTCTTTATAGCTTGTATAGCTTCCTTCTCTGCTGTTGAAGTACCTAAGCTCTGATTTTTGCTGCCTCTAGCTCTTTTGGACTACTGTGCTCTACTTGGCCTCCAGCTGTCCCAAGGTCAAGGGCAATGATGGCTTGTGTCATGCTCTTGTCTGTCGTCTACTTCTTGAAGTCAGTTGCCTTGTATACTTTGTTCATTTTATAGTTGTTTATGTAAAAAGTTAATCCAATATGAGTTATTCCATTATGACTGAAAGCAGGGCTCTGCTTCATCTTAGGGTAGAGATAGAGCCCTTAAGTCTCTTCAAACACATAAATTCTTTACTTTCTAATGTCCTGTGTTTTTAATAATAAATGTATGTCCCCCTAATTTTGTGCTGATAGCACACAAATTGCTAATCATATGTTCACTCTTTAGCCATTTTTTACTCCTTTCTGTCATTGTTCGCTGTTAAGGTAGGTGTTGGGACCCAGCATTTCTTTTGCTGGAAAAATCGTATTTTCTGCTATACTGTTGTGCAAGTAGAAATATCTCCACCAAAATTAGCACACTTGCTTTTTTGTTACAGAGCTACTTTTAGTGAATTTGCAGCCAAGCATGCTAAAGATTCAAGATTCAAAGCAATTGAAAAGATGAAAGACCGAGAAGCCTTGTTTAATGAATTTGTGGCAGCTGCAAGGAAAAAAGAGAAAGAAGATTCGAAGACCAGAGGTGAGAAGGTAAGATGGTTTTAGTTCCAGTGGTGTGATTGATGTGTGAATGGGAAAAGATTAAGTTGGTGCTGTGTTTCTGACTTTATTTGTGGGCATAAATAATAGAACCTGCTTTGTTCTTTTAAGTTAACTTTTACAATTGTATATATGTATGTATTCTCTCAGTTCCATGTTTATTTTAGTAGCTTCACTAAGCTATTTAGTTTTACATTAAATTCTGTTAAGATTTCTGGTAGACTCAAAACTGTTTGTTAGGACTGCCTGCTCAGTGGTGCCTGCCAAGATTTCAAGATTCTTTATAGGTGGTAACATTTGAATTTCAAAGAGGTTCTTTATCTTTTTTACCCTCTAAAAGATAGCATTTTAGTTACTTTCTAAGCATATCTTACATATAAATTATTGCTTATCAGAATTAAAGGTTAGCCATTAAAGATTAATGAATTCCAAATGTCATTTGATAGCAGTGCAGGAGTGGAGAGGCGCTCACCACTGGGGAGGCAGACTAGGAGGGAGATGACACCGGAGGGGTGTGAGCCATTAAAACATGCAACCACTCTCCTTCGTGTCCTGGTCTGCTTTGTGAATGTAGAAGAATAGTCTCTGGAGCCTAATCATTCTTGACATTTAAAAATTGCCTTTTATTTCAGAAAGTTACAATATTACAAATTCTATTAAGAAATGTCTACGAAGTAATACTGCTCTTATTGGGAAGAATCCTCTTGTCATTTAAAACATTAACTGTATTAGGTAAAACAACCTTGGTCTGAAATTCCTGAAACTTTCTGATTATCTGATTTATTGGGCTTCAAAGTAATTTTTTCCAGAGTTATTTATTTCACTGTCAAAATTTCTTTTAAAACAAGGATTATGCTTTTTAGTGGGAATGTGTAAAATCGGGTTCTACTACATAGTTTTATATGTTGAATTAGAATCATGTTAATGAATTGTTTGCTACTTTTCCCTTTTAGAATAACCTATTTGATTAAAGAAAACCAAGTAAACAAGTGATTTATAATTGTATGATTGCGTTTATACAAATTGAATATATTTGTAACTATTTTATGTATTCTGTTTTGTAACAAGTGGATAGACTTTACAGTTTTGTGCTGTGCGGCCTGTCAATCAGTTCAGTGACAGCTGTCAATCACTGACACGCAAAATATTATGGGATTCCCTAGTGAGGAAAGAATTGGTATCTCTCTGTGTGGTGACTTTAGTCTCCCGCAGTTCCGGTACTTTACATTTCTTTAGTCTTTTTCTTTATTAAATGATAAGAGTTGTGCCCAGAATGTGTTAATTTTAAAAAAGTAATTAAATAGACCTGACATCTAAATAAACTTAATATATTTAGCTTTATTTTATTTTGATTGTAAAATTTTAACTCTCTAAATTATGCATTTGTTTTTTTACCATAACTAAGTTAGAAAAAATGTAAACCAGGAAATTGGTAAAGTGAAACTTTGTCAACCAATATAAAAAGTGCAAAATCAATTACTAACTAGGCCATGGAAGCAGAAATCTCTAAAGTAAGGGTTAAATACAATAGATTTTCTATTAATATTCTGAGAATATAATTTTTTTCATGACTCCCTCTCTCTACTGTATTGTTTATATTGTTCTTACTCTACTGGTCTTTTTCTTAAATCACATTGTAACTGTGTAATTGAATAGTAAGACCAGTACCAGTAGTATGATACTGGAATTTTATTTCCTTGTTCTTATAATTCACTAAGTGGTCTTTGTAGCATTGAGATAGTTGAATCAATAGCTAAATATAATGGTTTAAAAACACTCTAAAAAACCTGTGAAGAACATTGACTTCCAGTGAAATTATCTTTTTTCATACGTAGCACTTTCAAGCTAAAGGGTACAGTTATTTTCCTGTACTTCATACCTATAGTTTCCTATTTTATGAAAAATGCCTTTTAAAGTCTACTTATTTTCATTAGTCTTCATTTATTATTTCCCAAAGCAGGAACCATCATGTTTTTATTTTATTTATAACCAGTTTTTATAAAATTGTGGTTAAAATACTTTACCTTTTAAAACAGCACATTTGAAGTTGCTGTAACAGAGTTGTGACATTAGCATTTTTTTTTCTCTTTTAAAAATTTCCTACTGTTGAACAAATTAAGTATTTTTGTTAAGGTAAAGGAGGAAAATGGAGAATAGAGCGTTGAATTACAGCTAATGGTAAATGACATTTTTTTGCCACTGATGCAGCAATCAGATAATTCTTCTATAGATATCAGCCTCAGTAAGCCATTTATAACCTGTCATGGTAAAATCTACAATGAAGGGAAGTTAAAGTTTAATTTGTTTAAAGTTTGCTTTATTTATACATCACACATTTAAGAAATTATATGACAGTCTTTCTAGGCTTTGTGTCTAATATTTGTAAACTGTTTTTAGTTAATAAAAAGTTCTGTGGCTTAGAAAGATTCATACTTATTTGATATACCTTGCATTTTTTATTTAGCATAAATTTGGCCTTCCAGTTATCAAATGCATCTAGGAATTTGGTGTTCATCACATCAGATATGAAGTAGACAAGATGAACAAAACAATTACACTAGTACATCAAGTGATTTCTCAAAATCATTCTCTGGAAACTACTGGGTTTATGAGTGTTTCCCATTAATCCAAAGAAAGTCAAGAGCCAAGTTTTGCAGTGGAGAAATCCACAGCAGCTTAGCTCTTTCCTTAGCTCTTTTTAATTTAAAAAAAAAAAATTCCTGATGCAGAAATTCTATTTTTTATAACATGAAAAACATTTTCCAAAAGGGACACCAACCTCCTTTGTAAGCCTTTAGTTGGAAAAACAAGGCTGTAGGGGGAAGTGGTAGGGTTAGAATAGGCAGGAAGAATGATCCATTTTTTGGGGTTTACATATCTTTTTTTTTTTTGAGACAGAGCCTCAAGCTGTCCCCCTGGGTAGAGGGACGTGGCATTACAGCTCACAGCAACCTCCAACTCCTGGGCTCAAACGAGTCTCCTGCCTCCGCCTCCCAAGTAGCTGGGACCACAGGCGCCCGCCACAATGCCCGGCTATTTTTTGGTTGCAGCCGTCATTGTTGTTTGGCGGGTCCAGGCTGGGGATTCGAACCCGCCACCTTAGGTGTGCGTGGCTGGCGCCTTAGCCGGTTGAGCTATAGGCGCTGAGCCGGTTTACATATCTTAAATTCTGATTCCATTCCTAATTTTTAATTCTTCTGGTCAGGTGGAAAGACACCATATTTAATTCCTTTTGGTGGTAGTGGGGTCTTAACATCATCAGAATCTTTTGATAAAGTGATATTAATTCCATTGTAGGAGTACAGAATAAGTGAGGCTAAATTTTAAAATAGATCCTCAAAGGTGCATAAAAATAAATATTTGTTGTTTTCCCCCTCTACTTAAAGAAAAAAGAAACATGGTTTTGAAGAGGTTTATAAGTAGTTGCATATGTTGATAATAAAGAATTAGTGTTATTTAATACCTTTAGTATAATGTTACTAACTTAATACTTCAGTTGTTGAGTTGCATATTTTTTAAAGAGTTATATTCTGAGTTTTGTAATCATAAAGTAATACGTGTTTAATGCTGAAGTATAGAACATCTGAATGTAGTATTTAAAAGTAATGCTTAATTATGACCAACTTATAAATTCTACAGTTTTCTTATATATCAAGGCACAACTGCCTTTTTCAAAACCAAAATAAATATTTTTATCTTAGTTTGATTTTTAGACATTTGGTAATACAGGTTTGTGATAACTTTCTACCTTTTTTTTTTTTTTTTTTTTCAATTTTTGGCTGGGGCTGGGTTTGAATCTGCTACCTCTGGCATATGTGGTTAGTGCCCTACTCCTTGAGGCGCTGCCTCTCTGATAATTTTTTGTTTCTGCTCAGTGATTTCTAAATTTCCCTATTACTTTTCTTTTCTTCTTCTTCTGGTTTTTTTTTTTTTTTTTTTTGGCCAGAGCTGTGTTTGAACCTGCCACCTCTGGCATATGTGGCCAGTGCCCTACTCCTTTGAGCCACAGGTGCCACCCCCATATTAATTTAAATGAGCAAAAATTTTATCCATCTAGTTTTTTAAATCATTTTTACCATCTTTTGTTGTTGTTGTTGTTGCAGTTTGGGGCTAGGTTCGAACCCACCACCCTCAGTATATGGGGCTGGCACCCTACTCACTGAGCTACAGGTTCCACCTCATTTTTACCATCTTCATGCTAAAGTATTTTATTGTTAATCCATAATCCTGAGTCTTAGCTAAAAATAAATAAAGCTCAGGGCAAAGTCATATTCCCTATGAAAGCATGGCTGTTTTGATTATCAAAAGTTATAAATCATCTATAAAGTTTTATTTCTCTGTTTGAATAATTAGTTGTAAAATATAATTTATCTTAAATTTAGCAGATTTTAAGTGAGAGAACTCATATGGCTATTGCTGTTTATATTTCTAATGTGTGTAAAAGAGTATTTCTCATATTCTCTTTTACTAAGATTTATTCTCTAAATAAGTATAAGTTACTATTCTCATTTTTAAGGTAGGTGAAATTTTTTTTCCTAGTTTAAATATTTATATATGAGAAATTACTCATGGTACATTATTTTTCCTCCCATCCTGCTGTTTTAAAATATAGATTAAATCGGATTTCTTTGAACTATTGTCTAATCATCACTTGGACAGTCAGTCTCGATGGAGCAAAGTAAAAGACAAAGTAGAAAGTGATCCACGTTACAAAGCAGTGGATAGTTCATCAATGAGAGAAGATCTTTTCAAACAGTACATTGAAAAAATAGCCAAGGTAACTGTTAACGCTTATTTGTACTGTTATCACTGAATACTAACATTATTAATTGCATTTAAGGGTATATGTTACTGTTTGGAATTTTTCTTGTTGAGAATCATAAGAATTTGTAGTTGCAGATTTGGAAGTGGAAGTACATGGGGTTTAGGTATATTGTTTAAAAACAAGAGTGGAATTTTTTATTTGGCAGGCTAGATATTCTATGAAAACATATGTCAATGGAGTTGGTAAGGATAATGTAATTTTACTTTTACAGAATTTAGACTCGGAAAAAGAGAAGGAGCTTGAAAGGCAAGCCCGCATTGAGGCGAGCCTTCGAGAACGAGAAAGGGAGGTTCAAAAAGCTCGTTCAGAACAAACAAAAGAAATAGATCGAGAGAGAGAACAACACAAACGAGAAGAAGCCATCCAGAATTTCAAGGCTCTTCTGTCTGACATGGTATTAGTAATCCTTTTTTACTTTTCTTTCTCTGAAGTACTAGATACTAAAATTCCTTATTACCTTATTATGAATAGTTTAATGAGGTTGACTCAGAGATAATTCAGTAAGTTACTTATAAACATTTAAAATTAAATGCACTGTTTTAATAAATTCAGAGGTTAGGTGTTTTGTGCATGTGAAAAGTCATAATCTTTGAGTTTTAAAACTCTAATTTTCATTATTCTTAATGAAAGTCATCTTAAATTATTACACACTTTCCTTTCCATAGTGATAAAGTGTCCTGGACATAATTTAATCTTTTTTGTGATGATCAATTATTGTACATGTAGATGGTATAAGGTTGGAATGAATGGAGGTGTACTGACCCCAGAATATACTCTGAAAATTGTTGTATCTTACCCATTAAGTTTGTCGAGGTATGTGGGGTTTTTATTCCTATGCTGAATGCTCCCAGATTGCTGTGCTGTCCTTACTACTTTTTTGTCTTCCACTTGTCACCATCTCTCCTATCCTGTTTCTTTTAGTGAGGCTTTTCTCATTCCTGTTGTTTGTCCTTTGCATCGGCTCCTTTTTCTATATGCTGGATAATTACATTCTTCCTCTTCCTCTAACATGCCCTCAAATTCATCTGCTTTGTTGCAGGTGCAAAAATCTCCATAAAAAACAAATCTGATTCTGTCACTGTCTTGATTATTTCCAGGGCTTGAAGGTTCTCTGCACTTGAGCAGTTGCCTGCAGGTCAGGTTCAGTCTCCCTAAAATAATATAACAGACTGTTCATTCCTGGACTTCCCCACCTTCCTATTACCTTATCATTTTGGCTGTTTTCACTTGGTTCCTGATTTCCAGCCCATGAATCTTACCATCCTAACATTTCTCATGGCAGTCCCTCCACCCAAAATGCTTTGGAACTGTTCCTACTACAATGACAAACTTCCTCATTCATCAGGAGTGCACTCACATATCTCTATTCTGTGAGGCTGCTCCTGACCCGTGTAGGCAGGTGTGGTCTCACTGTCTGTTTTACACCTCTGCAGCACTTATTACATGTGATCGCACTTATTTGCTTACATGTCTGTCTGCCCAGAGTAAGAGCTATTTGAGCTATTTGAGGGAAGGGACAACGGCTCACTTACTTTGTAGTCCTAGTGCCAAGTACAGTGTTTACCTGACAGGCATTTAGATAACTGATACATGTTGCTTAAATAAGTATGTTTACATCTTTCTTTTTATCTTTCTCTTTAGTCTCCCTTATTTCTTTTCATTGGCAGCAGTGTGACCTAATTTTTAATAATATTTTATAAGCAATGAACTTTGTTGGTTCATAAGCCAGTCATACCTGTTATGTCTTCTTTTTAAGAAATAATTATCTGGCCAGGCAAGGAGGCTCACACCTATAATCCCAGCACTCTCAGAGGCTGAGGTGGGAGATCTCTTAAGCTCAGGAGTTCAAGACCAGCCTGAGCAAGAGTGAGACACAATCTCTACTAAAAATAGAAAAATTAGCTGGGCATTGTGGTGAGTGCCTGTAGTCCCAGGTGCTCAGGAGGCTGAGGCAGGAGGATTGCTTGAGCCCAAGAGTTTGAGGTTGCTGTGAACTATGATGCCACAGCACTCTACCCAGGTGACTGAGTGAGACTGTTCCCAAAAAGAAAAAAAAACTACCTTTAATTGGCAAATCATAATTCTACATATTTAAGGGGTACAATTGATGTTATGATATACTATAATATTTATATACACACACAGAATGATTAAACCAAAACTAACTAACATACTATTTTCTTTACATAGTTTTTGTTGTGAGACAATTATAATTTACTTTGGACAGTGTATTATTATCAGGAGCAGTAGGTCTCAAAACTTACTTCTGCTATCTGAAGCTTTATCCTGTTTGATCACTAATAGCTCCTCATTCCCTTCCTCTTCTGCTCCCATCCCCCAGCCTCTGCTGACTATCATCCTACTCTCTATTTCTAGTTCCACTTCTTAAGATTCCACACATGAGTTTATGTGTTATTTGTCTTTCTTACTTTACTTAGCTAATATCCTCTTGGTTCATCCACGTTGTCGAAAATGGTAGATTTGTTTTTATTTTTTAGAGCTGAATAGTATTCCATTGTGTATTATATAACATTTTCTTTATCCATTCTTCCACTGATAGACACTTAGGTTGATTCCGTATCTTTGCATTTCCCCAGTGATTAGTGATGTTAAGGAATTTTGTATGTACTTGCTGGTCATTTGTGTGTCTTCTTTTGAGGAATTTCTGTTCATGTCCTTTGCCCATTTTTTTAATTGGGTTGTTTTCTTGCTGTTGAGTGGTTAGAGTACTTTATATATTTTAGATATTAACTCTTTTTGGACACAGTCTCAAGCTTTTGCCCTGGGTAGAGTTCTGTGGTGTCGCAGCTCACAGCAACCTCCAAACTCCTGGGCTCAAGCGATTCCCTTGCCTCAGCTTTCCAAGTAGCTGGGACTACAGGTGCCCGCCACAACACCCGGCTATTTTTTGGTTGTAGTTGGCATTGTTGTTTGGCAGGCCTGGGCTGGATTTGAACATGCCAGCTCCAGTGTATATGGCTGGCACTCTAGCCACTTGAGCTATAGGCGCCGAGCCTGGATATTAACTTTTTATCTAATATATGATTTGTAACTATTCTTCCCCCTTCTGTATGTTATCTCTTCACTTTGTTAATTATTTCCTATGCAGAAGCCTTTTAGTTTGATGAAATCTTGTTTATTTTTATTATTGTGGCCTGCATTAAAAAAATTGTTTCTCAGATACTCTTCCCCCTATATTTTCCTCTAGTAGTTTTATTGTTCCAGGTATTATATTTAAGTCTGTAATCCGTTCTGAGTGATTTTTAGTTATTGTGTGAGATAAGGATTGATCAAATTTCATTCTTCTACATGTGGATAATCAGTTTTCCAAACTCTGTTGAAGAGACTATCCTTTCCTCCTTGTATATATTTTTGGTACCCTTGTCAAAAAGCAATTGACTGTAAATGTATGGGTTGATTTCTGGGCTTCCTGGTCTGTTCCATTGGTCTGTGTGTCTGTTTTTATGTCAGTATCATGCTGTTTTGATTACATTTGCTTTGTGATAGACTTCCAAATCAGGGAGTGTGATACCTTCAGCTTTCTTCTTTCTCTCAAGATTTTTTTTGGCTCTTGGGGTCTTTTGTGGTTCTGTACATATTTAACTGTTTTTTTCTATTTCTGTGAAAAATGATATTGGGATTTTAAGAGGGATTTCATTGTCTCTGTTGATTGCTTTGGCTAATGTGAACATTTTAATGATATTAATTCTTTCAGTGTGGGAACCTGGCATATCTTTTTAGTTATTTGTTTTCTTCATTTTTCTCTCATCAGTGTTTTCTAGTTTTCAATATATGGGTCTTTTACTTTTTGGTTAAATTTACATCTAAGTATTTATTTCATTGCTACTATAAATGACATTAAAATTTTTTTTTTCTTTCTGGATAGTTTGTTACTAGTATATAAAACATTACTGATTTTTGTATGTTGATTTTTATATCCTGAAACTTTGTTGAATTTGTTTATTCTAATAATTTTTGGTTTGGTCTCTAGGGTTCTGTATATACAGGGTGTGTGTGAAGTTTAAAATAGTTGTCTGTTGGACAAACTTTATGGGCACGCTGTATAAGATTATGTTATCAGCAAAAAGATAATTTCACTTTTTCTTTTCTTACTAGGATGTTTGTTATTTCTTTCTCTTGCCTAATTGCTTTCATTAGGACTTACAGTAGTGTTGAAAAGAGTAGATGAATGAGCATCATTGTATTGTTCCTGATCTTATAGGAAAAGTTTTCAGCTTTTCACTGTTGGATATGATGTTAGCTATGGGTTTATCATAGATGACCTGTATTGTACTGAGTTACATTCTGTCTGTACCTATTCTCTTTAGGGTTTTGTCATGAAAGGGTACTAAATTTTGTCAAATACTTTTTCTATATCTATTCAGGTGATCATATGGTTTTTATCCTTTATTATTTCGTTTTATTTCACTTTATTTTATTTCAGATTAATGTGGGGTACATATGATTAGGTTATAGCGGGTTAAAGTCTGAGTTGTAGTTGTATCCTTCTCCCAGGAAGCCTGCCATATACCCAGGCATTGTACCTGTTGGGTAGTAACTTATAAAACCCCTTCCTTCTCCCCACCCCTCTTGAATTTGAATATTTCTTTCATGTGAGCCTGTAGTTGTTAATCTACTAGTTTCAATTTAGTATTAATTATGTGTGATACTTGTTTTTCCATACTGGTGATAAATTGCTCAGGAGAATGTTCTCCAAATCTATGGAGGTTGTTAGAAAAGATACAAAGTCTCCATCTTTTTAATGGCTGAATAGTATTCCATGGTGTACATATACCATGGTTTGTTAATCTATTCAGGTATTGAAAGGCACTTGGGTTGTTTCCACCTCTTGCAGTTGTGAATTGAGCTGCTATGAACAGTCGAGTGCAAATGTCCTTGTGGTGAAATGTCTTTTTTTCTTTTAGGTTATCCTTCATTTTATTAAAGTGGTATATCACGTTTATTGATTTGCATATGTTGAACCGTCCTTGTACCTGCTGTCTTCTCAACTTTGTTAACTCTTATTACTTAGAAGCATCACTTCTAGTATGTTAGTTAGTCCTTTATGAGCTCAAGATTTGCTCTGTTGCTTTTTTTCTCCCTGAATGTTTGATGTGTTTTTAATCTCAAAGTTTGAAATCTGAAATGCTCCAATATCTGAAATTTTTTGAGCACTGACATTACTCCACAAGTGGAAAATTCCACACATAAGTACTTAATGTGGCTGTTGTTTTGTGCACAAAATTATTAAAAATATTGTATAAAATTATCTTCAGGGGGCTGGTGCAGTTGTTCATGCATATAATCCTAACCCTCTGGGAGGCCAAGGCAGGAGAATCCCTTGAGCTTAGGTGTTCCAGACCAGCTGGAGCAAGAGCAAGACCCCGTCTCTACTAAAAATAGAAAAATTAACTGAGTATTGTGGCAGGTGCCTGTAGATTCAGCTACTTTAGAGGCTGAGGTGGGAAGATCACTTGAATCCAGGAGTTTGAGGTTGCCGTGAGCTAGGCTGACAGCTATAGCACTCCAGCCTGGGCAACAGAGTGAGACTCTGTCTCCAAAAAAACCCCTGTATATTTGTATGTATGTATACATATATATCTTCAGAGTATTGTATAGGTGTATATGTAGCAAATGAATTTTTTTTTTTTTTAAATTCAGGTCCCACCCTCAAGATAATTCATTATGTATATACAAATATTCCAAAATCTAAAATAATTTGAAATACTCTGGTCTTAAGTATGTTGAATAAAGCATACTCACCCTCTCACCCTGTATTAAGTTTCTTAGGGATTATGACTGATGGGTGCTACCTTCTTTTCAGCCTTCTCATCTTCCTTATCTCATGTTTGATAGCTTAGGTGAGTGCTGGGATGTAAGATTTCTAGCTTAAAATAAAGTAGGTTTTTAGTAACTTCTTACCTAAGGTGGAGTCACCAAAAAACGTCTTTTCTAGATTATTGGAAGCATATATTGGTTAGTTCTTCTTTAGTTAAGGTTGTTATAGTGTCATGAGCTAATTAAGTTGCTGGAAGTTTGTTTTAAATGGCCTTTAAACATAAGATTCACGTATAATATAGTCTATTCAAAAGGATATATTTGTTTTCAGAACTCATCTCTTAGTTTTTTAATGACTCTACTTTCTTTTTTTTTAATTTATTGTTGGGGATTCATTGAGTGTACAAGAAACCAGATTTCCCTGGTTGAGTTTGTTAGGTAAAGTCCCTCTTACATAATGACTCCACTTTTTAAAATAAAAATTACATGTATCATTTCTAAGTTATATTATTGAATCTTTTGTTGAAATGTGAAAAGATAAGTCTCTTTGGTGATATATATATGGTTCTCTTTTTTAGGTACGTTCTTCAGATGTATCATGGTCTGATACTCGTAGGACCCTCCGTAAAGATCACCGCTGGGAATCTGGATCCTTACTGGAACGAGAGGAGAAAGAGAAGCTTTTTAATGAACACATTGAAGCACTTACCAAAAAGAAGAGGGAGCACTTTAGGCAACTTCTGGATGAAACTTCTGCGGTAAGAGTTTCTTATTTTTCTTTTTTTAATCTAGATGAGTCTTTGTTAATAATTCCAAAAAGTAAAGCCTTGATAGGATTTTTAGTGTCATGGTTTTTAGATCCATTACTAGAATTCAGTTTATGACACTGTCTTCTCTGATTTTTTAAAAATATTATATGGCTTTCTTAAGTATTTAGAAATTACTTCTCTTTGCAGTTTTCAAATTCATAACTGTTCCTATGGTAATTCACAATGTCCTTAGCTGTATGTGTGGTCATTGATCCCTCATAATAATGGATTTAGTAAATTCCTTCTTTTGCTCCGTTTTCAATTTGGTACTGTGGCCCCTTGTCTGGTAGTTTGTAAACTTTGTTATCCAGGTTTTGTTCCTGTTTATCTGCTCTCTTTTTGGTGATGGTTTCTTCAGAAGTTATGATGTTTGCCCATGTAAATACAGGGTTTGCAGGTGATTGTCTTAGGCCACCTTGAAAGTATGGCCATGAAAATAACTCTTGTGGCAAGCCAACAAAAAGAAATTGCATTAACGCTGCTTCCCTGTCCCTAACTAGTCCAGTTACGCTTGGGCATTACAAGAGATTGCAGGTCAGTGTGTAATATTATGTACCATATGTGCTGCAGTTTGACCCCTTAAATAAAAGTGAGTTATATTTATGTTTTTTATTCACATGTCTTTTCAAAGATTACCTTAACATCCACATGGAAAGAAGTAAAAAAAATCATTAAAGAAGATCCTCGTTGCATTAAGTTCTCGTCCAGTGATAGGGTAAGAGGATATTTTTGTCTGAGATTTACTGTCAATTTGCAAGATACTATTAAGTGAATGCATAGTTAGTAGCACTAGTATCTTCACCAAAATAAAGTTGATAGTTGTAAGTGAATTATTTTTAAGTGTGAGAAATGAACCTAAGTTTAATTAAAGTTCATATTTTATTTTTTGCACAATGTTTTAACAAGAAAGCACAACAGAAAGTTTAAAATTTTAATCCTTGCAGTTAAGGTTGTATTTTGGGATCTTAGAGATTTAATAAAGCTACAGGTTTAATTTTATATTCAGATCTCACTAGATAGATATATTTGAGCTGCCAGTTCGTACCAAGCTGTCAAAGCCATGCTAACAAGAACACCGTAACAAGATCCCTAGTCTCATGCTCTCTCCACTTGAAGTGGAAAAATCTCTAAGATGTGTGAGGTTGATAAAAGCTGAGGTCTGATCTTTTGTGCATTTTGATTCCCCTCTAGGAAACAGACTTACCTAACGTCTGAAACAGTAAATGATGACAATAAAATCTTTGCTTACTACATTCCATTTTATTTATTGGGCTTGTATTTATATGAGTTAAGTTCTGAGTGTTATCATAAAGTTAGTACATCCCCAAATTATACCAATTAGTGTTTTTGTGCTTAAAGATGTAAATACAATCTACAGGAAATGAACATTTAACCCTTAATTTTCTTAAGAGCATCTTACCTTTTGAGGTTGTTACAAAGATTAAAGGAGTTAATCTTTTCAAAATGTTCAGCAGTGCTAGACCTAACAAGTTCTCAAATTTTAGCCACTGCTAATACATGATTCTTTACTCTCGCTTTCTTTTTGCCTTAAAAATGGGCATTGTGGATTATGCGTTTTAATGAATCTTACTGAATAAAAATATACCCTACCACTTTTTCTTTTGAATTTTTATTATGTGACAGATTATTGGTTTAATAAATAATTGATGTTTATTATGGAATTAATGAATTACCTCATCTTTTCTTTCTTTCTTTGTAGAAAAAACAGAGAGAGTTTGAAGAATATATCAGAGACAAATATATCACAGCCAAAGCTGATTTCAGGACACTTTTGAAAGAGACCAAATTTATAACATATAGGTATGTGCAATGAAATGTTTTATATCGGCAGTCATTGTCTTTACTAGTCCTTACTCTAATGGCCAAAGCATACTTTGCATTCACACACATGTTGACATTATTAATTTTTAGGGATAAGAAGATGCCAACTTTTATCCACAGTCAAATACAGCCCATATCTACCATACTTTTTTTTTTTTTTGAAAAAAGAAAGGGCCCAGATGTCACTTCTTATTTTGTGTTAACCTACCCATCAGTTTTTAAAACATACCTTTGTTTTCACTTCACTGCTTTTTTAGGAGTACTCCCAACTATACAAGAATTGTATTTCATGGGGAGTCTTTTAAAATAATCCTTTGCTGTCAGTTATCTCTGCCTTCTCTGAAGACTGTTCAGTGTGGTTAGATCATTCAAAAGCTTGAAATCATCTATTTAAGCTCAGCAAAAACTTTTTCTCAGAGGAAAGCATTTTTTGGATGCATTTAAATAAAAACTGTAAATTATAAAATTGGACCCTTAAAATAAGATTTCTCTGCAGCATACCCAACAGTTCTCTCCCCCCAACAGTTGATCATCAGTAAAACAGTTTTGCATTGCTTACCCACCAGTATGCAGGAAACCATTTTTGTTTCATGCTTCAGCTTTTCTTCCTTTAAAAGAAAAATTTGGAACATCTTAACAAAGGGTTATGTGCACGGGAGGATAGATAGTGCTGAGGGTGTGGTTTTTAGATATTTTGTCATTTGGATTTTTTGGTCAGGATCCTTAATGTTTTGCATCAGCTTGGGCTTTTAAATTAGATGTGAAGTAAGACTTCTTTCTACATTTTTATAGTTAATTTAGTGAAAGATGTGAAAGTGAAAGCTTGTGAAAGATGCTGGGATTGGCAGCCCCGCAGACTGAAGTCCTCTGTTCATCCACAGAACAGGTACAGCACGGGCAAGATTTACCCACCCACCCTCAGCCCTGATCTGGAGGGACCACGAGTAGGGGTGGGAGGGTAATTCAGCTTCTGAGGCCCTTTCACTCCTGGAGTCTTTGCTGAGGCGACTTACAAAGGTGACCACTGCAGTGAAATTTTTCTTAAAAAAAAAAAAAAAAAATGGAAACACAATTAGGAACTAGATGGACATTTCCAGCTCATTTCTGAAAGACCTATGAACAGCAGTCAGTAATTCTTGGACTTCTTTTTCTTATTTCAGATCTAAAAAGCTAATTCAAGAATCTGATCAGCACCTGAAAGACGTGGAAAAAATTTTGCAAAATGACAAACGGTACCTTGTACTGGACTGTGTGCCTGAGGAAAGGCGTAAACTGATTGTGGCCTATGTGGATGACCTGGATCGCAGGGGCCCACCTCCTCCTCCCACAGCGTCAGAGCCCACGAGACGATCAACAAAATAATTCTGAATACTCTTCCACAGGGGTATCTATTAATTCAAAACGCTTGCATGAGCCAATTTTCAGGTTTTTACATATATGTGCATTAGTCAACCTATTGCAAAACCATCTGACGAACAGAAGGAGAAGCATTCACAAACAGTTTCTGAACAGAACACTTGGAATATTTATGCTTTTCTTTGTGTGGCATGACTGACATACATACTCAAATATAGGCTGTCTCTAGTAAATCTAAAATCTTCTGAAGCTAAAAATCAGACTTTTATGAGGTGTGGAATTCAGTGACTTGGTGACGACGTTCTCTCTAGCAGTGTTATACGTGCAAGACATAAGAGCATTTGTGGTCTGAACTTGCCAGATGCAAAAACCACAGACTCCAAGAAAACCTAAGTTGGGGTTTGTTTTGTTTTCATTTTGTTTTTTAAAGCGGGTAAAAGAGAAAACACTGAAAATTGAATTCTTATCTTCCAGAGGCTAAGATTATTACAATGGACAATACTTTTACCTTTGTCTCTAAAGAACAGTTTTGTTTTATTTGTTCACTTATGTGCTTTGATTATCCCCTCTGAATTATAGACCAAGTCTTGTTGTTTAGCCGACGAGAAGATTTATGTAGTAATTTCTTCTCAGGTATGGAACCACGGTCATAACTAACATGTTGGCCAGAATAGAACCACTGGTTAAACATATTTTCTTCACCATTAAGTGATCTTTATCAATATTCTGAATTAGACAACAAATTAAATATCCTTCTGGGTGTTCCCTGTAAACTATATTCCTGTTTGAATGTTAAACTTTTGTTTCTAAAGTTTAAGATGTTTGAATGTTCAGTTTATGTATTTGAACTACAATAAACCACCCCTTTTTATATATGTGTATTGTATATTATTGTTACATTATCTATAAGAATTTATCTTAAACCTTTTTTTTAAAAAAAGCAGCAAATGTAATTTGGCATAAAGAAAGTTGACAGTAAATTTTGAATATTGCATAGTTTTAAAAGGCTTTAATAGAATAATAAAGTATCTGCAATGTAAAAGGGGAGAAATTTTGTAGAGAGCCTTTTTGGAGCTCAAGAAGCAAGATGGTAGCTTTTTGGGTTTTGGTTTTTGTTATTCTTGGTTTGTCTTTTGTGTGTTAACGTGTGATGATTTGTGCCTTTTGGCATCCTTTTAACCTGTTGTGCACATCACAGTATGAAACTTAACCTTTGATTCCCAATTGCTCTTTCTAGCCTTACCTCCTAAGTTAAAAAAAAAATCTCCTTTATTTTAATTCCTTCATAGGATGCCAGTTCAGAGTGCCACACAAATAGAATGTTTAGGAAATTATATATGCTAATAAAATAATTTATTTTCCCTTTATCTCCCAGTGATTGCAACACAACTTAGAAAGGGGGGATACCAAGTGATCTGTATTTGTAAAGACATTGTTTGTGTACACAGTCACAGACATACATTTATATCCATGTTACTTAGTTCTAAGCTTAAATCTATTAAGTACCATAGCAATTATGCGAACTCTGTAGGAACCTCCATCCTGGTAAAAAGGATGTGTTTTCTTTCCTTTTTTCTCTTTTTTTTGAAGTTTATTTTTATAAATTCATTTGAGTTTATGAATAGTGAAATTGAAGTGCTTGCCAAAAAGAATGTAACTATTAAAGAAATAATGACCAAATGTCTTGCAAAGGTGCAGTTTCTAGAATGCCTTATTTTGTTATTCCGAATTCCACGTAGTATTGTTTTCTCATGGTAGAAAAGTGCGAAGAAAATGGTTTGGCAATGTCTATTATGATTTCATACCTTTTCACGTATTTGGGTTTGATTATTCATAGAAGGTGCAAATCTAGCTTTCTATGCAGATTTTTTAATGGATCAAGTCAAGTCGTTGTGTCAGGTTCTTAATGAAAGGTTCATTGTAATTATACTTTTTCTAGTGTCTGCATCTTGATTTGGTGCTTGTCAGTGAACTCTGAAAATCAGGTTTCCCTGAGACCTGTGCCAGTGCTGACTGAGGTCAGTCATTCTCACAAAGCCCCATTGTTCAGAGTGATGTTTCTGAGTCGGCAATTCAAGACAAAGACAGTCTTAACCCTCTAAAAACTATCTGAAGTAAAACATAATTGTTTTTAATGTCTTTACACGTTAAAGTGTCAAACACTGGAAGCCTGCATCCTACATTTACTATATATAATGAAAAAAAATCTCTCATTCAAATAGTTAATCACAGACAATTTTAATGGCAATCCCCTGTATAAGTGCTGTACCACAAAACAATATTTTGGATCTTGAGTTAAATTGTACTTTATTTGAATTCAAATAATACTTGTAATGAACAAAGTAAAAAGAAAACAGCCCTACTTTTGAGTTGAAAAGCAAACTACGGCCATTTGTAAAAAATAATTATAAAAAAAAAAATCCCCAGACCACAAACTGAAAATAAAAAAAATACTAATAGTTTTATGTTTTATAGGGTATGCTTTACATTGCTATGGTATGAATAGTCACTGGCAATTCCGATTTTACCATATGGTTGGAAACACAATTGCTTTTCTTTTTGCATGGCTCTTACGCTTTTTATTTTTTATTCTTAACCAAATTCTGCCTTTTGTCTGTTGAATTTTCTTCCTGATATTTTCTCATGTACTTTAAAAGTTGAGCAGGGTTCAAGTTCAATGTTATGGGTAAATCTAATATTTCCTAACAAGTAAAATCACCATCTCCATCCCCTCTTTATACTTGAGGCTTGCCTTTAATCAGTAATTAATACTTATTAATCATAACTTATAGTTGGGATAAACAAATTGCTGTTGCTTATAGAAGAATGACTGTTTCCTGCATTTAGAAGACAGGAAAGGACAGTTTTTAAAGGTTCTTTTTTCCTTCCTAGGATATAGAGTGTCATGTTCAGGCTGCTAAAATTCTCAAACTGAAGACTCATCATGTGGATTTTAAAAGGTCGTTAAAGCAGGCTTTAGTATAAGGCAAACTTTGATAAATTTAAGCTTAGCCAAAAATGGGTATGATTTGACATTTGCCCAGAATTGTAATAAAGCTGTGTTTCTTATTGTATATTGTTTGGTCATGAAAATTGTGATATGGGTTTTCATCAAGTAAATTAACTTATTAAGCAAATTAAAATTACTCATTAAAATGTATTAATGTGTTAAAGGAAAATGTGATAGGTGAAGTTAGGACCTACAGGGTCAGGGAGACTCTGCAGGTTCAGGAGCTCAGCCTTTGCCAGAGATAAGCTCTATTTCTGGCTCTAGCAAGGGGGGATGGGGCTGGTCCTAAGGGATAACTATAAAAAAGCCATTGTGAACAATAGCTGGGCTCTGATCATTTTGACAGCAACATCTTTACAGAACACTTCAAATGAATTCTTTGGACAATTGGTTTATAATTCTAAAACTTAATAATTATTCCTAACATGGTGTTCCACTTACCAGGTTGCACGTTTTGAAAATATGGAATGAGGCATTTTTGTAATTTCTAGCAGCAGTAATTTTATCATATTTGATACGGTAAAGTCAGCAATATTGATAGCAATACAAATAAATACAATAATCACAATTTGTTTTGCTTTGAAACTCAAATCTATTTATCACTACCCCCGGCTTCTTGATTTTCATGCTCCCAGGGGATCGGGTCATTGTCTTGTACAGAAGGGACTGTGTCCCTCTCGTGCCAAAACTGCTCTACGTCAGGGAGGACAGGAATCTCCACCTTCTCAATTTTCTCTTTGCTGGAGGAGGGAGAGCCCGATTTCTCCTTCTCGGGAATGGATGTTGGAGACTCCGGAGATGGAACCTTGTCAGGAAGGACCTCTGAGTTACCAGCTGGTGTTTCCCGAGATTCCAGGACATTTGCAGGTTTTTTGGTTATCATCCATTTCCATAAGCCTTTTAAGCCTTCCTTGAACTCCTCTGACATCACAAGAAAAATGAAAGGATTTGCTGAAGAGATGGAAAACATTAGGACTTGAGACAGGGCTATGAAACCTTGTGGAGGGGCCAGTCCTCCGGTCCTCAGATGCCAGACCCACAGCCAAGCTATCCATTCAGGGAGCCACAGTAGAGCCGAGGTGGCGGCAACGCTCAGCAGCATCACTGTGAGTTCCTTTGAGCGTATCTGGTTTCTCAGATTTTGAGTCTTTGTCCCTCGTTTTTTACATTGGCCATAAGCTCTCCAGAAATAAAAACTGGCTGAGAGTAATGGAAGGCAAAACACCAGGAGGGGGTAGAGCTTACCAAATACTGACACGAACGCTTCGGCCACAGCTGGTACCTCCATGAGGCACATTTCCACGCCTGCGTGATGCCTGGTGGTGCTAAAGAACCATTCTGGCAGAGGTAGCAGGCTGGCCACAGTCCAGATGGCCCCCAGCACTGACCAGATGGTGCAGTTGTGGATGCTCACTTGCTTAGCAGGGTCACTCGCGTACATGAAGCATACTTTAGCCACCACGACGATTGTCAGGCTCTTTGCTGCCATGCAGGTGTGGATGAACCAGTCAGAGGACTTGCAGACAAACCAGCCTAGATCCCAGACACCTTTGGAGTATGCCATAGCTCGGACAGGTGCCGAAAACAGGAGGGAGAGATCAGCCAGGCTGAGATTCAGAATCAGGGAGTGGATCATAGACGGCTTTCCTTTCCAAGCGCTGTGAAGGAGGATGCCAATCACACACAGGTTTCCCATGAAGCCCACCAGGCAGACAGCCACCAAGACAGCTGGGATGATGGTTCTCCAGTCCCGGGAGTCAGAGGGCAGGTACCCTCCGGCAAAGTGGAGGTGAGCAAAAGACAAGTTCATGGCGCTGGAGTTAGAGTCTGCAAAGGCAGCTGCCAGCATCACCTTTTCCATTCCGTGCCTCCTTACGGAAGTTAGCTTTTTATTGAGGTTTGTCTTTCTGCCTTGGCTCTTTTGCACAGGAAATAAATACCGTGTCGTCAGTGTCGAATGACACCTCTGGACCCTCCTTCCCCTTGCTAATTCCCTGAGGACCGATGGGAATGTGGAAGAAGGCTGACTGGTAAGCTCTTCCCCACCGCTGCACCCTGCTCTGAATGACAGGCAGCCGGGCTGTGCAGTGCTGCTCATTAGCAAGTCTGATACCAGATTGCCAGCCCTGTGCAGTGATAGGAACATACCCTTAAATGATGAACAAAGACAATGTACTCGCAAGTGCCGTATGTTTCTAGGGGGGCACTAGAGTCAGTCAAGGCCATTATTTTCAACCAGCTGTTTCTAAAATCTTGACTGTATAATTCTACTGTATAAACACTACTGTGTTTACTGCGTCTGAACCAAGTCCTTTAAACTTAAACTCACATCAGAATCCCCAGGTGCGGAAGGGCCCAGGAACTCCAATTCTTCACAAGATTTTAGGAGACCGCACTTGATAACTAATGTTTCACACTGGAACCAGGGCTGCCCCCACCCACCCCTTTGCAGAGATGAGCTTTGTCTTCTTTTCTCCACCCCTCCTCATCGCCTCAAACCCCATCAACAGCTGGCTGACATCAAACACAGCTGGATGATGAAAAGTTAGAAAGAAGTCTTACTAAAAAAATATGATTATGGATGACTCTAAGTTTAGTCTATTGTGAATTTTTACAGATAAATTTAGAGCTCAGAATTGGAACGTTTTTACATATTAATAAGACTTTCCAACAAACGATGATGATGAAGGCGACCAAATGATGAATTGAGCCTCTTCAGAGAGCAATGCCAAAGGATTCACTGAGGCAAGAGAAACCAGAGAAAACCCAGCAATTCCCACGTGGAAAGCACCTAAGAGATTCTTAAAGAAAATAATAGTTTAAAGCTGAGGGGGGAAAATGATTTTAGAACCAGTCTTGAAATTTTATAATAGGCAGTGAATATTCTACAGGGGATCAGAGGAGGGACAATTGTTCTGGGAGGTTTGTGGGGTTGAAATGAAGATGCGTCTTACCCTGGTGCAGCTGAATCAGAAATGCTTTTTAGCATGATGCAGAGTGTGCTGGGCTGAGTCACACCCTGGATTCTAGTATCAACTCTGCTTTCCCTCATGTTTTACAGCAAAGGAAGAGCCTGACATTTGAAAATTCCTCAGAGCCCCAGAACTCAAGCCAGTGGGAAAGCCGTCAGGGGTGCTGACTTTGCTGGTTTCTGTTTTAAGACAGAGTCTCAAGCTGTCATCCTGGGTAGAGTGCCATAGTGTCACAGCTCACAGCAACCTCCAACTCCTGGGCTTCAGCGATTCTCTTGCCTCAGCCTCCCAAATAGCAGGGACTACAGGCTCCTGCCACAACGCCCGGCTATTTTTCGGTTGTAATTGTCGTTGTTTAGAAGGCCTGGGCCGGGTTCGAACCCACCAGCCTCAGTGTATGTGGCTGGTGCCCTACCCACTGAGCTGTGGGCACTGCCTGTTTCTAAAATCTTAGTATAGTCCATAATTCAGTGAACATTACATCTGAACCAAGTCCTTTAAACTTAAACTCACATCAGAATCACCTGATGCAGAAGGGCCCAAGAACTTACATTTCTTAAGATTTTAGGAGACCACACTGTAAAACAGTAAACTGGAGGCTGGGTGCGGTAGGTCATGCTTGGAATCCTAGCACTCTGAAAGGCCGAGGTGGGAGAAGTGCTTGAACCTAGGAATTTGAGGTTGCTGTGAGCTAGACCAATGCCCGTGGTGAAAGAATGAGACTCTGTCTCAATTAGAAAAAAAAAAAAAAATCCCTGGCTTGGCGCCTGTGGCTCAAGCAGCCACACACCTGAGCTGGCAAGTTCGAATCCAGCCCCAGCCTGCCAAACAACAATGGTGGCTGCAACCAAAAAATAGCCAGGCATTGTGGTGGGTGCCTGTAGTCCCAGCTACTTGGGAGGTGAAGGCAGGAGAATCTCTTGAGCCTAGGAGTTAGAGGTTGCTGTGGGGCACTGTACCCAGGGTGACAGCTTGAAGTTCTGTCTCAAAAAAAAAAAAAAATCCCACAATAAATTAGGGTAATGCTTTGTCCTAGCAAGGCACAGGAAATCCCAGTTCTGTGCCAGTGAAACATCCTTACATCTCCATAGCATCACTCAGCAGCCTGAGGAGGCCCACACTGGCTTAGGGGTAAGAAAAGGGGAGAGGCAGAGGATACCTTGAGCAATACTTAGAGCAAATGAGTGATTTGCATATTATGGACTACAGGAAAGGACTATAAAACACACCTGCTATGTGTGGGTGAGATCGGTTCAGGACCAGAAAATAAATACTACTTTATACCATGGCTTATAAGCTTATGATGCCCAAGGCTCCTGAAGAGGTATGAGACAAAAGATAAATGGGTTCCAGATGCCTTTAATATGGAAATTTGATTTTTTTTTTATTGCAATTTTTGGCCAGGGCTGGGTTTGAACCCACCACCTCTGGTATATGGGGCCAGTGCCCTACTCCTTTGAGCCACAGGCACCACCCTGGAAATTTGATTCTTAACAGACAATTGAGGGAAACTAAAAACTGTCATGTGGCTTTCCCCAAATCTAGGACTGACTCAGTCATATGACTGTTCCCAAATCTATTGGGACTGACTCAGGGAAGAGTCTACTCTAGTCCCCTGGTTGTGTCCTTTGTGGCCCACAGTTACCCAGTTTTGGAGTATCTTTTGCTGTGGGGCCTTCCTGAGAGGCATGCCCATGATTTAGTATCTGCTGTTCTGGAGTGGTGTTCCAGGTTGCCGGTGCCAGCTAAGCAATAATCCACCTCTAAGGCAGGTGTTTGCATAAGGACGGCCGTGTCTGAGTGGCCACTCCTACAAGAGACCCCCTTCTGCTTTTGCTGTTAGTTAGGTAGCTCTAAGTCCCACTGTAGGGAAAAGGATGGAAGAAGATTGATCGTGCTGTTAGTTACAAGGTGGGCATCAAGTCTGGAAGTGTAGATTATTATTTTATCATGTTAGTTAATCAGTAAGTCATTTACTATCTACTGGCATGTCTTTTCAGCCTTGATGCCACCCTGAATATTCCAAATTCTACAGAGGCAGGTCTGTAAGAGCCAAGTACTGGGAGTTAGGACATCTGAACCCTGTTTCTGAAAAATAAGACTATTAGATCAGAAATGGGTCCTTTGGGATTGTGTGCGTCAAACTTTTCCAAATGTGGAGACAGATGCTCTGAAAGCGTGAGTCACTTGTCTTACGTCAGCAGGGCATGGCTGGTGTCCAGAAATCTCAGCTGCCAGAAATCTCAGGGGATATGTTTCTTTTTCCTTTTTTTTAAGATAGAGTTCCACTTTGTTGCCCTCGTTAGAGTGCTGTGGCGTCACAGCTCACAGCAACCTCAAATTCCTGGGCTCAAGTAATTCACTTGCCTCAACCTCCCGAGTAGCTGGGACTACAGGCTCCTGCCACAATGGCTACTTTTAGTGATGGGGTCTTGCTCTTGCTCAGGCTGGTCTCGAACTCGTGAGCTCAGGCAATCCAACCACCTTGGCTTCCAGAGTGCTGGGATTACAGGACTGAGCCACCGTGCCCAGCAGGGATGTGTTTCTTTCTTCACTCTTTATTGCATTTTTTTTCTGCCAGGTTTTGTTTGTTTATTTGCTTGTTTGTTTTTTTGCATTTTTTAATAACTGCTTAGTTTCATTTTACAGAGGATAAAATTTGGACAGAGATGTGATGGCTCTCTGGAATGCAAAAAGATGGTAAGAATATAGGTGACTATATTATGCCAGCTTGTATAGAACTTTCAACTTTTTTTTCCCTTGAAAAAAATCCTTCATAATCCTATGCAAATAACAATTACAGCTATGGGCTCGGCGCCTGTGGCTCAAGTGGCTAAGGTGCCAGCCACATATACCTGAGCTGGCAGGTTTGAATCCAGCCCGGGCCGGCCAAACAACAATGGTGGCTGCAACCAAAAAATAGCCGGGTGTTGTGGTGGGCGCCTGTAGTCCCAGCTACTTGGGAGGTGGAGGCAGGAGACTCGCTTGAGCCCAGGAGTTAGAGGTTGCTGTGAGATGTGATGCCCCAGCACTCTACCCAGGGTGACAGCTTGAGGCTCTGTTTCAAAAAAAAAAAGAATAATTACAGCTATGATTTTTGTTACAATGCAATGAGGAGACCTAGTCAACCAAAAAGACCCTGGGAGGAACTGTCTTGGAGATCGATTTTTCTATCATGATGATCACATGGGTTGCTATTTTGTAGGCTCCCCTTGCTCTAAAAGAATAGAGCCTTTTCAGTCAGTAAAGTACTGACATATCCCTATGGCTCCGGCTGGTTGACATCTTACCTTAGTCATAATAAGCCTATCCCTGGTTCCAGGTTTCTTGTTTTTTTATCTTTTTCTTTCTTTCTTTTTCTTTTTTTCTTTTTTCTTTTTTCTTTTTTTTTTGAGACAGAGCCTTAAGCTTTCGCCCTGGGTAGAGTGCTGTAGCATCACAGCTCACAGCAACCTCTAACTCCTGGGCTCAAGCAGTTCTCCTGCCTCCACATCCCAAGTAGCTGGGACTACAAGCACCTGCCACAATGCCTGGTTATTTTTTGGTTGCAGCCGTCATTGTTATTTGGCGGGCCCAGGCTGGATTTGAACCTGCCACTGTAGGTGTATGTGGCTGGTGCCTTACCCACTTGAGCCACAGGCGCCGAGCCTAACATTCAACAAGAATCTATGAGGCCATTATAAAAACTGCGGGAAAGTCAGGGAAGTGGGACTAAGCTCCTCTCAAGTCTTTGAAGCCATTGTGGGGAGACAGGGTGCACTTTGGCAAAACTGTCATCTGTAATGTTACATAAAATTATACCATTCCGAGTGTTGTAAGGCAAGTACCAAATTCATGTTATGGGATGGTGTTCACACTCTAGCTGTGGAAAGCTTTTGTGCAGATTTATCCTCAGGCAGAAGTCCAGTATACACAGCAGATAAAAAGAGAGCTAT